GTCGCCCCTTTAAAAGCAGACGTGTTCCTGTATTGTTATCGATAATACTTTATGAACAAACTAAGTAATGACCCGTCTAAATCCATTCAATAGATACATTTAACAACACTTTCCGTTATCTTGATTATAATTTTTCGTTAAATAATCATAAACTCTCTAAAAATACTGACGATATTTACCTACAGGAACTTTAATAAATCAAATATAAACAGCCCTTGCTGTCCTTTCCTATGTTAAGATATTTCAGTTTCACACGGTAAAATATGTTAAAAAATGTACGATAAAAGAGACGATTGCTCGTTCCCTATTGTTAATTTTCCTTTTTTGGACGAGTATGTTCCTTTACCCTCTCTTACTGTATATATACCCCAACTCGTTCTTTATGCTTTAGATACAGCGCTAACACAACGCTGGAACTTAACGTATTTAAAGGTATTACAACGTAAAGACTTTGTGACGTTACTGTATACTTTGGCATTGTAGTGCGATTACATTTTATAACATGCCAGGACGAGGAATGTACGGGAAGACAATACATAACATACCGCACGACCCAGTTAGAAACGATTCGATAACCACACCAATTCGTATTGTTTACGTTGTAGTTAGGGTTAGCTAGTTGTAGCTAGTTGTAGACAATCTGATCGGTACCAGAGATTAAACGACTGCTTGATGAATACACCGCCCGTTCTTGATAACTTGACAAAACTGTTATAACGGTTCCGATTAATCACCATTGCAATTTCAACAGACATTGAAAAGGCATTCTTACACATAGAATAATGTACATAATGAAACACATATACAATTGAGGATAACTCGGTATTATCTACATTGACCGATAACCTTTATGTCCATCAACAACCATTTGAGTATACAGCGACAGGAATTCACGACTTAGTGAAATTGACCGATTTTTTTCGTACAAGAAACTATTACAAACGACAGCCTATGTATTACGCTTCATTCAAAATTGTAGATTGTCATAGGAAGATAGAACGTTTACTCCATGTAATGTGAAGGAAATACAAAAGTCAGCATTTTTTTGGATTCGGTCATGCCAAATCCTAACTACCCCGAGGAATACGACACGCTAGTAAAAGGAGATCGTACAAACAGAACAACATTATCCGATGTTACAGAAGTATAGATAATGCACCAATTCTCCAGCCTGCTTAATTTCGGCAAACACACTAGTAACTACGTTGATGTAGTACCAGATGCACTCGAGAGTTTACTACACTCAGGAACTAGTAGTATCATATAGCATCGTCAAAACTTTTGGATACCGTCAGTTTGTAAATATTATTTTACGTAAATGCACTACATGTCTTTAAGTAAATGGGACTTCGTATAAAGCTCCAGATCCGCCGCCTTTACCAAAAGCACGCCTACAAGATGCACCGAAATTAACAGTGATCGGTATCGACTTTACAGGAGTTTTACATGTAAGAGACGAGCACTTAAATATAACTAAACATATGTGTGCTTATTAACATGTACGTCAACAAGAACAGTACCGAATTTATCAAAAGAATCTTTTATGCAAGCTTTTCGCCGTTTCACAAGTCAGGAGTCTACACAGACAATGCTTTGACTTTTGTTGCAGCTTCAAGGAAGAAAGATAAGAAGTTAGCAATATCCTTTAACTCTACGTTCCGCTATATAGATGATGTTCTTTCACTAAATAATACAAAATTTAGTGACTATGTTGAACGAATCTATCCCATCGAACTAGAGATAAAGGATACTACAGATACAGTTAAGTCTGCCTCATATCTTGACTTACATCTAGAAATTGACAATGAGGGTCGGTTGAAAACAAAACTTTACGACAAAAGAGATGATTTCAGCTTCCCAATTGTGAACTTTCCATTTCTATGTAGCAACATTCCAGCAGCGCCTGCATACGGAGTATATATCTCCCAATTGATACGATATTCCCGGGCTTGTGTTTCCTATCATGATTTCCTTGATAGAGGATTGCTGCTCACAAGGAAGCTATTAAGCCAAGAGTTCCAAATGGTGAAGTTGAGATCATCCCTTCGTAAATTTTACGGACGCCATCACGAGTTGGTTGACCGTTATGGAATAACCGTTTCACAGATGATATCGGATATGTTCCTTATGTCGTAACTACAATACCCTTCCCTTTTCACGAATGTGACTTACCGAATTAGACTATTTACCGGATTTGTAATAACATAAGCAACACGACGGGTGCCACATGTGGAGCAGGATCTGCTTACCCTTCCTGAGCACCTGAGATCACCCCCAGTTTTTGGTGGGGTTCGTGTTGCTTAGTCTTTAGTTTTCTATGTTGTGTCATCTGTACTATCATTTGTATGTTTGTCTTTTTATTTTTTTGCCATGGCGTTGTCAGTTTGTTTTCGATCTATGAGTTTGACTGTCCCTCTGGTATCTTTCGTCCCTCTTTCAAAGGAAGTCAAACAAATAATTGAATCGCAAAATGTACAAAATGAAATCGCAGATTTAGGTGAGCAGTGGATATTTATTTCTAATCGTGATCCCCGTCATGGTGGATTTTGGAAGAGACTAATAGCAGTAGCAAAAACCACGTTGAAGAAAGTACTCGGAAAATCACTGGTCGACTTTTAAACTTTGTTCTCTATCGTTAAACGTTACGGCAGTAGAAAGTATAATGAACGACAGACACTTACTTATACCTCAACTGATATTAACGACAGCGAACCACTTACTCCACCGCTTCTGTTATATGGTAGAAGAATAAGATCGTTATCTTATCCACATTTAGAACAGAATCAAGTGAACCCGTTTTAAGGACTATTCGTCACTCACTAAACAAAAATTACGACAAAGAGAAATATAAAGACACTTTTTGACAAGATGGAAAAATTACTATTTAACATTATTAAGAGAATATCACAAAGCATATGAAAATAACAAGGAACACATTAAAAGTGGTGACGTTGTGCTTGTACACGATTAGTCATAGAGAATCAATTGGAAAATAAGCATTGTAACTGAACTTATTCGAGGAAACGATAGGCATTCGTCCAAGACGTCAACCGAGTTTAAAAGCTGGTGAACAAGTACGTAATTGGTTGAATCTGCCATCAAATCGAGATGATAAAGAACATATGTGAACTGTTAACAACCCCACTTTTATATGAACTGTGAATCGTAATTAAGTGTTAAAGTTTCAAATTTTGTTACCAGTATAGAGAGACATTAATTATTTTCTATACATAGAGAATTAATTTTCAAGCGTCAAGATATTTTTAATTTGAAATTTTTTATTCACATTGTATAGTTGTATTGTATTGTATATAGAAATTTATCTTTTTTACGGCCCCCAGAATGTTGTAAATACAGTGCGTACACAACGCTGGAACGTAACGTATTTTCAGGTATTATAACGTAAATACTTTGTGACTATACACATGTTTACTTGGGCATTTTAGATCGATTACAATTTATAACACGTATTCTCGACACTTTATGCTCGTGTATGTGGTAACGTTTCAGATTTCAATACAAGTAATCTTTCAATTCGTTTGATGTGTTTGAGATTTTGATTTTGCCATTTGATAAAGGACTTTCCGTTTCGAATTCTCCTTGGAGTTTTGTTTCTTTTGTTATTTTACTTTTTTCCCTTATTTTAATGTGTTTGAGATTTCGATTTTGACATTTGATAAAGGACACCGTTTTGAATTTTCCTTGGAGTTCGTCATTTTTAATATTCTTTTTTTTTTAATCACTGCTATTAAGTCAGGGATTTCGTTTACACAAATTACTGAAAACCTTCGCGTTTATTAAATTCTTTCAGAGAAATAAAGATTTGTTTGGAAGTTAAGCTGTAGAAAACTTATCACAAACTGATAAAATAAATCTTATTTTTTACGGTGATGTTGTTTATAGAGCTTGTAAATTTAGATACGATTGGGGTAAATTTATCAAGCCATTAAATAAACTCATTAAAAAAGGTTCTCAAATTAACACTGGAATACATGATCTAGAAATCGAGGATGTTCAGAGTTATTGAATCTAGTTTTGCGAAAGCATTGATTTTCTATCAATAATTTAAATCATAACTAAATATTATTGCTATACATCTCTGAACGTTAACGGTACCTATATGTTTGCATTATGCAAGATCATATATTTTTGTAATGGTTTATAACGTCTTTTTACTTAACCCATTGGATATTTACTGTTTTATAGTTAAGTCTTAGATACCTGCTATTAGAGATTTCCAATAAATGACATACGTACGTAACTCGACGTACGGACCTAATGGGACTGGTTATTGCCAACGATTGAATTTGATTAAATACGTCGCTGAAGTTTAAACAAAGTATTCCAAGACTATTGAAAGCACACACTGAAATTTTGGTCCATATACAATAATTTTATCATGACGAAAAATGATAGATATCTTCCATTTTTGTTTATCACGTGGTTCTCCAGATTCCCGCCTTTATTGTCACTGACATAAGATCACGTATAAACATACGTATTCCATACCTATCATACGATCGATTTGAGTTATCATTCATGGTTTTGATTATGACAATTATTTTTCAATATACTTTGCAGATGAACGCCCCATTATGCTTTTTTTGTTGATATCCGATGTTTTTCTTCTGTCTTTCTTTCTTCTTTATCTATCTTTTTATTATATTTGTTGCGGGGTAAACGTTTAGAAGGATATTTTGACAATTTCAGAAATGTCGAAACTACTGTTTGTCAGAATCTCTCTCTTTTTAAAAGTTGAAAATTGAGATAAAACTATCGCTTCTATTTAATTTCTTAACAAAAGTATGTTTCATGTATTATAAAATGTATTGATAAAAAATTCCCTATATAGGTTGTATTTCAAAAGGTGTGCTCGATTTAGGATTGTTGTTTTGTTTAACGAGAATGCTATTGGAGTCCAAATACAAAAGACATTTCCAGGCATTGTTTTTTAAATCCCTTGAAGTAAATTAACTTGTAGTATTTTATCCATTTTATAGATAAGCAATTAATGGAGGTCACAGACTTTGTATTATACCGCAGGAAGACATGTTACCCTATCCGGACACATGATTCTGGACCGACCAATATCTGCTCTTACTCCTAAAGATTGTTTGCTTGGCAGAGAGGCAGCCAATCTTCGATTTGAACCGGGCAAGGATCGAGCCAAAGACTTCCGACACTCCAGCAGTGGTGCAGCTTCCATTGACGCAATTAGGCAACCGCCTTATCAAATTGTTGACCATTTAAAAAGAGATATAAAGAGAAAATATATACCGTGTATTTCATAGTATAGAGTATACAGAGTGACGACGGCTCAACACGTTGACTGCTTTACTCTTTGCTCACTCATTCCTCATTATTAACGTCTTGAAAAAATATACGTCACACTTTCTTTCCTAAAATTAACAAGGTAGATGCAAATATCTTTTTTAAGGAACAGACAAAGTATACCTCGCAAAAAACTGTTTCAAACAAGAGGTCATAACTGTGAAACTGACATGATGCTTGATTTTTGTTTTTTGAAAATAAACTTGTTACTTTATTTGGATTAGGTTTTCAACAGACACTTGGCATTCCTACTTTTTATGTAGTACTCTTCCTACTGACATGTACCGTGATTAATATAAGCAAGACTTCATAGTTCACCCAGGTACTATATTCTATGCATTCTGACAAAAGCTAAACGTATAAAGTTAAAAGACATAGTGGATCATAAACTTTAATATCACCAAATCTATACATTCCAGCAGCGCCTGCATACGGAGTATATGTCTCCCAATTGATACGATATTCCCGGGCTTGTGTTTCCTATCATGATTTTCTTGATAGAGGATTGCTGCTCACAAGGAAGCTATTAAACCAAGAGTTTCAAATGGTGAAGTTGAAGTCATCCCTTCGTAAATTTTACGGACGCCATCACGAGTTGGTTGACCGTTATGGAATAACCGTTTCACAGATGATATCGGATATGTTCCTTATGTCGTAACTACAATACCCTTCCCTTTTCACGAATTTGACTTACCGAATTAGACTATTTTCCGGATTTGTAATAACATAAGCAACACGACGGGTGCCACATGTGGAGCAGGATCTGCTTACCCTTCCGGAGCACCTGAGATCACCCCCAGTTTTTGGTGGGGTTCGTGTTGCTTAGTCTTTAGTTTTCTATGTTGTGTCATCTGTACTATTATTTGTCTGTTTGTCTTTTTATTTTTGGCCATGACGTTGTCAGTTTGTTTTCGATCTATGAGTTTGACTGTCCCTCTGGTATCTTTCGTCCCTCTTTCTATACAAAAGCATTTTAGAGGATGTGATATATTTAGTTCTGTCAATTATTTTTGTTTTGATTGGTTTGAATACTGAGAATTAAACTTTTAATCAGCAGTTTCATTGAAGTATATTGATTTAATGCGCACTAGAAATATTATTATTTCATGACAAAATTCCACAAATATGGACTTTTCATAGATAGGATCTTTGTACCAGTGTGTGACCTATCAAGGAGGCCCGTTGCAAGACAAAATGTCTGCCCCTATATAACATGCTCTCTTTTCCCGGTATAATTGAAATATATGCTGTTATCATGGTCGACCTAGTATATATATCTATTGTATTATTTTTTTTACTTGTCCTGAATATGCATGCAGTTTTTCGTCTCTTAATGTCCGGCAACAACAATCAATTAGTCAATTAATCAAAGGTGTTTAAAATTATAATTTTTCTTGTATTTATAAATGTTGAAAACTATTTTTCGATTCAGATGTTCAATTAACCGTCCACTCCCTATTGACATTGACGTCTTTTAACCAAGTTGAGGCTTTGACTGCCAAGGTTCAAATAATGAGCCTCACCAGAAATAAAATTCCCTACTGTCGATTGATTGATAGTTGGTTGCTTAACGTCCGGTGGCAAATTTTTCATGCATATTTAACGTGCAGCAAGCGTGGAATTCTCTCTACAGGAGGCATCGGCTTTAACGTCCCCACTCTGATCGGAAGTGACTGCGTAATTGTACATCCCGCACAGCCAAACGGACTCCCCACTTTGACAATGGTTTAGATGCCGGTCGGAACAAGACCAATAGTGACCATATTTCTATTCCCCGGTTACCCTTGAGGGTTTACTGGCGAGGCGAGCACGCTACCATAAGACCAAAGAGACAGTTACGAATATGGAATATACATATACATGTACATGTATTAATCAAAACATTTGCAACAAGAATATTTGGCCTTATGACACCGTTCCCCTTCACATGATCATATGTCCATGTTCAGTGCACAACTTAATCCTTGTCAAACTCTAATTTGGTATTTAATTTTAAACGTTCTATATTTCGAACCCAACGGAAGAACGGATGGATGCACAGACCAGTAAATATAATATCCCCTTGCTATCATAAGTTGCTCATAAAACTAAAATGATCATCCTACTTAACAAAATTTCAATCAAATATTCCGTTTTTTATACGTATTTGCATAATTTAAACGCAAAACATTTTAGAAATACAATTTAAGAGCAATGACATTAAATTACGAATACGTTTGTACGGAATCCATGCATCATTATAATTAAAGACAAGAAGTAAAAACAATAATTGATTCAGTAAAGTGCAATCATATTTTTTCTTGGAGATGCGTCCTCATAAATTCCATTTGATAAAATTCTACGGAAAGGTGACAAAGTATTATCAGAAAGATGCACCAGTGATCTGAATTTCTACCTCTGACAAAAGTATCTTGAAATAAATTATAGAAGTATGCTAAAAAAAAAAAAGAACAATCAATTCGTGTACAACTTTTACATTCCGGCGTGTTTGAAACTCTTGTTTTAATCTTATAACTTATAAATCAAAATGAGAATATCGTCTCGCTTCAGATTCCATTTTTTTTTTTATTTTTTCAAACTTAATTTTGATTTAGTAGCTTTAAGAATTCGCCGTTTGAGAGATAGATATATGGGTCAAGTGAAATGACAAAGTAATGATCGGTGCATTTGATTACCGGTACCTGAATTAATTATTCCCTTGAAAGGTTGTTGTCAATAAAATCATCCCAAATTTAATAACAAAATATGTAAAGAATTCAAATAGCAGATCGTGCTAATTTTTAAATAGCATCTATTCGACCAAATATGTGTTTTCTACGAGCCAAAAATTTATGCAGTCTATGCTCCCCTCCGTCATCCTTCTATGCACTAGGCCGAGATACGGTCAGATAGGTTGGTTATATCGAGTAATGTCATTTTATTGGAAATCTCCATTACTAGTTGTTATTGGCTTTAAATTAGCTTTCAGTAAATGCAGAGGACTCAAAGATTTATTTTTGTTTCGATCTGATGAGTCAAGCCTTTTTTAATAGATTTTTATAGTTTGTATCTATGTTGTGCTGCTACACTACTATTTGGGGTTAGGGAGAGGGTTGGGGGTCTTCAAACATGTTTAAATCCGCCATATTATGTATGTGCCTGCTCCTAGTCAGGAGCTTGTAATTCAGTGGTTGTCGTTTGTTGCTGAATATCATGTTTGTTTTTCATATATTGTGATGTACATATAAATCAGGCCGTCGGCTTTTTCATTTGGATAGTTTAACATTTGTCATGTCGGGGACTTTATAGCTTGATATGCAGTATGGGTTATCCTCGTTGTTGTACGATGACCTATAGTTGTTATCTGCTACGTCATTTGATCGCCATTGGAAAGTTGTCTCATTGGCAATCATCACTTGTAAATGAATTTTAGTCTTAAACGGTCATTTTGATTTTAAAAATATCTGAAAAGTGTGAACAATAACTTATTAAGTCAGTATTTCAATCAATTTTCCGACTTATTGATTAGGGAAAATTAAGCTCTGTTCAGACAATTAATTCGCTTGCAGTTAATTCAGTACTGTTCAGACAATTCGTTTGCAATCAATTCAGCACTGTTCAGTAGCTTTGTAGACAATTCAGGATGACGTTAATGTGTATAGGTATATAACAATTATTTAAGAGGCAATAATGTTTTAGGCTCCCGTCAAATATTGATTGCTAAGTTGTCGGCTAGACGTCATTGTTTTTTTTTTATTGCGTTTTGTCTCATTTAGATATTTCTAATAACCTTTTCTTCTTTAGTGTGGACAATGGTCAAATGCGATGGTTGTCTGCATGGTAAATTTTGACTGCTTCATACCGATAAATCAAAAGGCTTATAACGCAATGTAAAATTCTTTACCAATATGTCAAATTCGTCGAAAATATTTTATTAGTCGAAAATGACAGAAATATAAGTTTTGCGCTTTTAACAAATTTTTTTTCCAAATAATCGTCAAATAATATGTCAGATAAGGTATTTTTTGGAAAAACGGAAAAGAACAGTTATGGTGAGTCTTTCCGAATATACATGCTATTTCATTTAGGTAAAATAAGACAAATGTACTCAAGCCTCAAACATACATATCTTTAATTTGGAAACGACCATATTTTCATTTTTTAACGACAAATATCTGTTTGTTTATTTAACTATTTTTCATACATAAGATAATAAAATCTTAATTGGAATTTAAAATCTTTCAAACATATTGACTAAATCTGACCAAAATAATTCAGTAGTTTTGTTAATAAGTATATTTCACATTGACAATAACAAATTATGGTAATCTAAAGTTTTTGAGAATAAATTGAATTAAGAACATTTTGACAAATGTTTCGGCATTGGGAATTATGGGTTACCAGTGTTGAAAATCTAAGTAGAAGATATAATATAGATTTGGCTGCTGGATCCCAATTTTTGTCATATTAAACTATTATGTCTGTGTGGGTTGCTCACTCAATTTTGTCAACAACTAAAACAACGGAACTATAAACAACTGTCATGCATGTGGAAGGTTATGCTAGCTATACAACCAGGTTAAACCCACCCTTTTCTTCGGAAAATGCTATTAATATAGATTAACAAGTGTCATATTTTTACCTTCAACTCTCTTTGATTGGAGGCAAATAATTAAAAATGTATTCTCCTCCCTATTGGTTTCTGATAAAGGATTCATCTTTTCAATAAAACGCGTGTCTTGCAGACAGTAATTATGACAAGATTTTGATTTCAAGTATTCGAAAACATCTCTCCGTTTCTCTCTAGAATTTACACCTTGACAGTTGTATGAGAAAAATTTTAATGTATCCTTAGTCATTTAAATAGCTGGATATAGAAAAACATCCATTTATAAATTTCATTTCTCTGATTACACTTTGACTCATACAACTGTCTATTTATAAATCTAACTTCATGCATAAATAAATCTTGGTAAAACACTGTGCAAACATAAAAGTTGTAATAAATAAAAAAAGTAAGAGTTAAAAAAGTCACGATTGTCATATTATGACATTTTTTGTCTTTCTTGAACAATTAAAAACAAGTTTTGGATTACCTGTTTCCAAAGAAAAGGGTTAGGTGGAAAAAAAACCCAACAAATTTATACCCACTAAACTTAATTTCAACACTCAAAGGGAGATAATCCAAATCCAAACATATTATCTCTCCTTAATTGTAGGATTGAAGAACATTTGTTTTAGTCAGTATAGCAATTGTAAATATGCCTAATGTGACCTTCCAGGTATTATAGATCGAACATTATAAAATGTGTGAGTTTTGTTTTGTTCAATATTTTGCAGTCCAATTTGTCTTACTGAGGTTCTTTTCGTTGTTATTCTTATCAGTTTTCTTAGTTTTATTGTACAAATAAACAGGGCAAATAAAAGTTTACCTTATATTTTCTCCCTTCTTCTATGGTTTACTATATATATATATATATATATATATATAAGAATTAGAGCAAACACAAAGTTCCATTCATTATATAAGTAACTATACGAATGCTGTAAAGTTAATGAAATTATTGTTGCCTTTTAATTTAATTTCATATGTATATATAATCAGTCTTAATAGCTAGAGATGTGTTTGTCATTATATAAAAGTGCACTTTTTTGCTTTTTACTTGTTTCTTTTATTGTCGCACACATACATGTAAGTGTACAATGTATGTATAAATTCTTTTTAAATTGTTTTGGTAGCATTTTTATGCTTATTTTTTCAGTCTTGTTTTGAACGTTATATAATTAGAGTAGTAAGTCCTAGCTGTTTTACATCTTTAACATTCTTTTTTGGTTTTTTTATTGTTCTCTTAATGAACATGTATTATGAGAGTTCAAAATGTTTGCATTATACATGAAGGCATATACGGGGGAAACAAACGATATGTACTACAATAACAAAATAAAAAGTGGACCAAATAAGCAAAGCAACAAGAAAATCAATTAAGTAATTAAAGTAGCATGCATTTTCATATAAATGAATATATATCTAATATATAAGCAATGCAAACATGACACAACGTTGGTTCATGTCTGTCATTTTTGTTTTTCGCAAAATGTTTTGTTATGAATTAGGCCTTTAGTTTTCTCAATTAAATTGTTTCATATTTTCCATGTCGGTGCCTTTTATAAACGACTATACGGTATTGGTTTTCCACATTGCTGAAGGCCGTACAGTTGGCTATAATGGCTTACATCAACTTCATTTGAACTTTGGTGGATAGTTGTCTCATTGGAAAACTTAACACATCTCCTTATTTTTATAAAGTAAATGTAGGAAGCATCAAATATACTATTCGCAATTGAAAACCACCTTAAGTTTATTTTAAATGACAAGTTATGATAGTCTTTTCTTTTTTGACATAAAAGTAAGATAAAGCGCAATATCAATATAAAAGTCTATTTTTGTTTTATATTCATTCATCACACTACATATCTACACATACTATACAATCACTATACCCGATTTTTAATTAGATTTCCAAAATCATCAAAATGTTTGTCAACAAGCATCTCAAATTAGCCGTCAGCAATAAGTAAACCTAGATGTAGATTACTGTGTGTGGATTTATGGATTTATGTTTTTCTAAAACTGAATAACAAAAAAAAAATGTATCTGAAATACTAGATCAACTTTATAGAACTTTGCCCAATTCTGAACGAAAAACGGATTATCGCTCTTGTCAACAGATATTTTCAATTGTTCGTCAAAAATTGTAAAATTGATATCTTATTACGATATGGATTTTTTTACTGACATATTGTAAACTGTAGGTTTTGATGGAAATTTCGGTGGGAAGTGGTTTTATTCGTTATCTACGGCAGCGATAAAAAAAGATCACAAACAAACACATTCAAATGCTTTTCTTGAATTGATGCCGATCCTTGTGGCAGCTGTTTTAATGAGGTGTATCATTGCTAATAAAAATGGTGTTATCTTGATCTGCAAAAAAAGTCTACTTTCGAGATTATAAAGAAAAGCACAGATCAAAATCTTTATATATCATGCAACTAAGAAGGACATGAACATGGTGTGCATGAACAAACAATTTCTTTTTTCAGTACAAAACACGTAATAGGTTAATAAAACGTTTTTAATGATGCCTTTTCTCAGTTTCAGTTACATCGATTCAGAACACTAGAATCGGATGCACACCCTTTTAAGGACCCGAGTCCAAACATTGGGTTTAATCAAACTACCAAACAATTACGGACAAGTCAATATCTAAAATGACTTAGAACATGGATGATTTTGGGATCATACAAGTTAAGGAAATCATCCCTTCGAAAATTTAGCAGACGCTATCACGAGTAAGTTGACTATTATGGAATATCTGTTCACAGATGACAACGAATATGTTCCAATTGTCGTTACCACAATCGAGTCCTCTTTTCCTCGAATGTGATCTACTGTATCATACTTATCATCAGGTGTGGACTTACATGAGCAACCCATCGGGCACCACGTGTGGAGCAGGATCTACTTACCTATCCTGAACACTCCCGGTGTTGATGGGGTTCGTGTTGTTCAGTCCTCAGTGTTCTATATTTTGTTTTGTAAACTGTTGTTTGTCTTTAAATAGTTTTTTACCATGGCATTATCAGATTTTTTTCGACTAATGACTTTGAATGACCCTTTGGTATGTTTCGACTCACTCTTAGAGATTTAAATGTTAAATGATATGACATTTACGAATAACCTGGCCGCATTATCGGAAGAAACATTTATTTATTCTGTTTTCCATTGTCAAAAAGTTCTTCAACTAAATTATTCTGTCATTAAAGTCCACCTTTGTGGAATAAGATATATAACTATTTGAAGGCAAAATGTAAAGATCTTTAAGTATTTTGTGACGACAAACCATGTCCTAGGCTTCAATTGATTTTAATATTTGGCAAATGATCTAAAAATTAGAAAAAAAACAGACAAAGCTTACCTATCATTTATGATATTCTCTAAAAAATTGTTACAAAATTACAAACGGGAGAGTTGTTAGAGTTCATTGACGACTTGTTAGAAACATCATGTGATTTCTTTCTGTGGGTTCCTCCGATGCGGCAAACTAACTGTTGTCAAATCAGAACAATTAAAACCTGCTATTAATTTATTATATCAGACTTTCATTAACAGATTATATTACTAACATACACTTAAAACAGTCAAAACTAATCCATTTCGTTAAAGTATATTCAGCTACACAAAAGGAATAGTCTTAGTTCGTATCTAGTCTTAAAAAGTAAAATCACAAAAAAACTGAACTCCGTGGAAAATTCAATCGGAAAGTCCATAATCACATGGCAAAATCAAATGACCAAACACATCAACCGAATGGACAACAACTGTCATATTCCTGACTTGGTACAGGCATTTTCAAAATGTAGAAAATGGTGGATTGAACCTGGTTTTATAGCGCTAAACCTCTCACTTGTACGACAGTCTCATCAAATTCCGTTATATTTACAACTATGCGTGAACAGACATAATAAATAAAATAGTCAAAATATGGGTACAGCAGTCATCACTGTGTTACAATATCAAAACAAACAATCATTTACAAAAAGCACAAAAGCATTTATCAAATTAAAAACCACATTCATTGCTTCGCGTGTCTGACGTCAGAAAATGTAAACGTCACTTAAGAAGATATTTTGTCGTTCAATGTTTATTCAAAACAATTTCATAATTTCACATGGGGAATGTTGGTATACAGGGTTAAAAAATCAAAAGTTATGTTAGAATTAATTTCAGAAATAGACCGAGATTTAAAATTGTCCAGAAGTTCTTTAGAATTTTTAAGAATCCACATATGGTTAATACCACTACGTGAGTAAAATAAATTTGTCGTTTGTCGTTCAAAGTATTTTCAAATTTATAATATAACAATAACATAATGACATATAATAGAACAATAACATAATGACGGGATCTTTTAAAGTACAGAGTCACGTTATAAGAACCAAAGAAACACAAAAAGTCGCATATACAAAACACACCAGCAAAAATGAAAGATAATACAAACACATTGACGGATGTATAAGTAATATCAAATGGATATCACAGAAAACAAACCAAACAGTAAAAGTAATATTAATAATAGAACAAAGACAAATGAAAGAACAATATAAAACGTTGTTAAGATGATAAACAACGTCAGTACGCAGAATGTATATTTCAAGACCATCATGTATTATTTGTGAAGTTGGTCTTGGTACCTTCCGATGAACATTTTTAGAAAAAGGACGAGACGTTCTTTGACATACCCCTGGTTCATCAACTTCCTGCTCAGACACTGGTGACGTTTTACAAAGTCTGTGTAGGAGCTGCAAACTCTTGAATATCGAATAAGTTGGGAAATGTATATCCCATATGCAGGTGAAGTTTGTATATTGCTACTAAGGTGGGGGAAATTTATAATTTTAAAATTAAAAATCGTCTCGTTCGACATATATTCTGGTACTGAGATGACTGTGTATGTCAAATTCGAGATATAAGTCTAAAAATGAGGCGGAGGAAGCCGTGTCTGTTGTTTCTTTAATTTCTAGTTCTCGGGGATATATTAATGGAACCCAATCAGAAAAGTTCGGATTGTTAACTGAAAGAAGATCATCAATATATCTAAAAGTGAAATTAAATAATCTGGCTTCTTTGATCTTCTTGTTTTTGACAAGTGTCTGAAGGAACTCCGATTCATATGAAAATGAAAGAGTCTTAGATTGTATGTACTCTAAAAGATCTTTGGAATTTTTTAGTATCCACATCTAATTCACGCCACCTCTAGAATAGGCAGTGTCACAATAACTTTGAAGCCCGGCTTTGATTGCTGATAAAATTGATGTTAATGATTTAGAAAGAGGTTTCGTGGAGCACTTGGAAGACCCAGCAATATACTGTTGTTTGTAGGGACACTTATGTAGTTTAGGTATCCAATACCGTGACGGAAGATTCAGTTCTTCATCTTTGGTTGAAATTCCAAAGGAACATAGCACAGACCTATGATTATCTAGGATTTCCTCTTCAGAAAGTGTTGTGGGGGTATATGTTGGGTTTCCAAGTGAATTGTCAATACCTAATACATACTTCTAAGTATCGACATGATATAGGACCATAAGTGTTTATTACATATGTAGTTTAAATATATAGTATACATTATTTGCTAGCACAATATACATGATAATTGTTTGTGGGTAGATAATGACAATTGAAGACACATAGTTTGGAAAGTAGCTCGTTACTACAGGAAGCTAGCTAAGGTAACCATCACTATTGGTTGGATACTCTTGCAAAGGAACAGGATGCCAGCTGAGGCAACCATTGCTATTAGTTGAATACTGTCGCAAAAGAAAACAAAAACTTCAGGAACAACACTCGAAGCCTCAACATAAAATTTAATTGAACTTGGCAGTATTTGTGAAACACAGTAAGTAAGTATTTAATCTCGTCAGATCATCGACAGAAACTGAGTATCGAGTGTATCACGCATGTGGCCATATGCTGTCCAAGTTTAAACAGGCGGGTTGCTAAGGCATTCCCAACAAGTAATGCTGCAAAACACTAGGTTTGGTTATTATAATTTGGGGCGTAAACCTTACATTTTATGACGAGCAGAGCGAGGCAAAACAAATTTCAAAGCGTTACCGATATAAGTTGGGAAGTTCTGGGTATTTGTTTTGCTTAATAATTTATCTGTTATGCCTGGCAAAAGCGTCCAAATATGGTCTGACAACAGCCATTTCAAATTAATGCGAACATTTCCCATAGAGTAATTGCTGGAAATATATTTACCCTACCTGCCAAAAAATATCAAAAAGTATGTATTCTCTTGTGGATACTAGTTAATAATCTGTATGTGATACTTTGTTTTTAAATAAAGTTTCATAATTAGCAATATGCATCAGCGGGTACCAGAGAGGGAAGAAAGACTGATCGGTCCATTTTCATTTCAAATATTACAATATTCATATTTTTAGGAACAGGTAAGCATGTCTATGCCACTCCTGAACAGTGAAATACGAAAGATTTGTAGTTAACAATTAACAAATGTGTATAACACTAATAAATCTTGTCTCTACTATATCTAAGATTGACTTTTTGCAAATGTTCTCCTAATACTTTAGATTATAAGCAAACAATATATAAACGGGACTGAATAAGTGGTAGCAGAATGGTTGTTGTAGGTCGGGAACATCGCAACAATGATGTTATATCTTCTTATAGATAACAGCTACGTTGTTATAAAACTCAATTTTCGATTCCTGTTTATGGTACATTAGGGAGTGACCTCTTTTATTTGTCTTAGGCGGAGCGCTGTATTTTTTTTTTTTTTTGGTCTTTAAAATTAGATTATAGCAAAAATTCCCAAACAGAAACTTCTTGTTTTCTTTCTCTACGATCAAAGAAATTTCTTCACAGTTGAGAAATAGATTTTTATTAAGAATAAAAAAACTGTCAACCCTCCCTTACAGTTACATGGTCGCTCACTTTATTCTACAATACTTAATGAATAGTATACTGTGGTTGGTTTTAGGTTCAAGAACAAGAACAAGAACTATTAGATACTGGATAACGAACTAGATATAACTTCGCCCAGTGAGCCCTACGAAGAATGTAAGTGGGTGACAGTGTCCAACTAACAGCTATGGCTACCTTAGATAGCTTCATATTGTAACGAGTAACTATCAAAATTATTAGCCGTTTTCATTTCTTAGTTCAAGTTGGTTGTCAAATAAAGGCAACAGTAGTATACCGCTGTTCGAAACTCATAAATCGATAGAGATAAAAAAAAATCCGGGTTACAAACTAAAACTGAGGGAAACGCATCAAATATAAGAGGAGAACAACGACACAACAAAAACACAACAGTAAAATGTAACACACACAGAAACGAGCTATAATATAACAATGGCCATTTTTCTAACTTGGTACAGGACATTTTAAGAAAAAAATGGTGGGTTGAACCTGGTTTTGTGGCAATGTTAAATATAACATTAAAATGACAACATTACATGAAAGGATTACAATACAAATAAATGGGAGAACATATAGGACAAAGAAACACACGAATAATAGCTAACAAAAGGCACCAGGTTTAAAATCCAACACGCCAGACGTGCGTATCGTCCACACAAGACTAACCAGTGACGCTCAGATGAAAAATGTTTGAAAGCTAAAACAAGTACAAAGCTGAAGAGCACCGAGGACCAAAACTTCTAAAAAGTTGCGCCCAACACGGCCAGGGTTTTCTGCCTGGGACAAGAACATCCTTATTATTTAGAATAATTTATAATTTTGCAAACAGTAAATTTTATAAAATGACTATATAATAGATATACATGATAAAACCGAAGTGGGGACTAACTACAGAATAAAATCGGATACATTACATAAAACAATTTAATCCAACACAATAAAATACACAGCCGAGTTAGCCAAAGCCTCAACGCACAAAGTGACGTCACATTTGACATTCTAAGAAAAAACACACAAAGTGACTTCACATTTGAATTTGTCAGCTTGTTTGTATCTGCAATGTCCTGGTTTTCTTTGTTTATTTCAGTTTTACAACTTACAATCAAGATAGGTAAAGGGGGATTGAAATGGGGATGGAGCGCACTTCACACTTGTTTCTATGGTTCAGATAGGTAAGAGTGGAGATTTGTAGGCATTTAAAACCGGTTAAATCCTAACAAATGTTGGCTCGACCAGTTAGTTTCAATCAGGTGCAGACTTTTATTCTAGTACCAATCCAAAAGTGGCAAATAGCTGAAGATACAAAATAAAATACAATTTTACAATGTGTCAAATGATTATTAAAGTGAATAAATCATTTGGTATGGAGCAACGACGTTGTCTGGAATTTTGCAATTAAATGCCCCCAATAAGGCGTAGTCCAGAATGTAGCAGTGCATTACTACCAATATAAAAATAGTTAAATTTCTACTAAAACTTGAGTTAACAATTAAATACATCACTGGCAATGGGAAGGCATTGAATATGATATTTTAAAAGTTACTAACGATTTGGTAAGCCACAAATTGTGACACAAAAAGAATTTTTGAAACAGTCCTCCTTTGCCAAGTGATGTGACGTGGCATTGTCATTTACAAAAGACAGATATGAGCCTGCAGTAACAATAAAAATATAACGGTAAAGTGTAGATTTAACCCCGGATAATATAAATTGATCGTGAATACGAATAAATAACTTATGTACACAAATTAACACAGTTGTTTGTTGTTGCATGTGTGTGGGTCTTTGAGAAAATATGACAAAACTAAAGTAATGCCTATTGATCAATTACGTAAAAGTGTGACTTGTGGTTTTAAAACGCAAATCAATGAAAGGAGAAACAAAATTAACACTTATATGTAAATACACACACGCACAACAACAACAGCTATCGTTGAAAATAGTCCATTTCTGACAACTTGAAATATATTCTAAGAGCAGCGACACCAGTTGGCAACACACCAATTTGGCGTCATTGTGAGTTCCAATTACTCCAAAGTCTCCAACGTGTGATCTTGTCAGTAGTGATGCTGACTGTCCAGATTTATTATTAGTTACATGCGAAAGAACTTGGTCAGTATATTATTACAAAATGTCGACTGATACAGTGCAAACAAACGACAGATAAAAATACTAGTCAAGTTGCCGTAAATGGTAGACTGATGTTTTGTTTATCTTTAAACTGATGGCAGTGATTCTGTATAGTCGATAAAAACCGATTGCGTAAGCATTTTAAATGAATTGGGTCGGCATTAGTCAGCTTTCCTGGCTAAATGCATGTTAGTAAAAAAACGCCGTCAACACAACATAACCGTCCATAAACTCATAATACAAGTTAAATAAGTTTGTATTTCATCTTGTCATATATAAGGTTCCTTATGGATTAAATTTTCTACTATGTATGTCCTACTTAATCTACCTTAATCCTATAAACCAAATATCATGTCAAACATTTTGCCTTAATTTATAAGCCAGACATGCACTTAGAATTACACCATTTTGATACGTTAAGTGTTGAAATATCGCCATAAATAAGCTGTAGTATTGCTTTATCAAGTAATACATATGTCTTATTCAATTTCCCTTAATTTACATAAGAATCAACATCATGTAAAATAACATGCCTTAAATCTATAAGACAGAACGCTATTTGGGATAACTTAATTTTAGTGCTGTATAATTTGATACATTGCCATAAATAAGTCGTCTTCTTCCATTGTAGGGCACTTTAAAGAGAGGCAAAAAATACCAAAGGGACATTCATACTCATAATTTGAAAATAAATTGACAATGCCAGGGCAAAAAACGAAAAACGAAAAACGACGAAGAGACAAAAAACAGTGCACAAAACACAACATAGGAAATAAATGACTGAACAACCCAAACCTCACCAAAAACAGGGTTTGATTTCAGGTGTTCTGGAAGGTAAGCAAATCCTGCTCCACGTGTGGAACCCGTCGTGTTGATCGTGTTAGTCCAACCCGGTGATATGCTTAGGTCGGTAGGTAACATTCGAGGAAATGAGGACGGAATTGTTTATGACAGTTGTAACACATTTGTCGTCATCTGCGAACCTTATTTCAGTTTGCATTAACGGGATTACGCAGCTATTACGAGGTTCATATACGATTCCATACGTATACAGATCCGTAGGTTGAGGTTTATTTTTAAGACTGACAAAATTTGAAATCATAAGAAAACGAATTTTAGTCTGAAACGGTCATTTTCATCAGAACAGATCTTAAAAGTCTGAACAATTAATTATTAAGTGATGTTAAGTCTTTCAGTCTTGTTTTATGTTCAGACTTTTCAGATGATGTTAAGATCAAAATGACTGTTTCAGACTAAAATTCGTTTACTAGTGAATAGATTTATAAAGTTAGTATCAGTATATTCTTTAACCTTTTTCAATCGTTTATATTAACCAAATGCATATTATATAAAATTTGAAAGATAACATATTACGATAAAGTGTAAAAAATGTAACTAGCCTGTTTGTAATCATCCTATTTACATTTCAACATAACAAGTAATTATTATTCAACTAAAACAACCAAACTATAGTGTGTTATGCTTCAACAATTTTCCGACTGTGAAGAAAAGAAATCACTAAACTTTATAATTGGGTTCAAATAACAGAACGGTATTTTACCTTTTTTTTAATCTTCCACCATGAAACAAAATGCTGACAATTGCATGTATTGCAAAGCAGAGTACAAAGTTGGGAGTTGTTGGCACTGAACAACATTATTAAGTATTGATTAGGCACCAACTATTCCGTTCGGGTTGTATATTTGAAAACACTTGTAAATGGAGTAATTAAGGAATATTTTGTAGGAACCTTTAAATGATTCTATTGTTGTGTGAACTAATATTTGAAATACAAAAATAACTTAGAAAAAATAATTACAGTAAGTTAAAAGAGAAAACAATAGTTTGCCATATTCAAGTTTTAAAAAAAAGAAGATGTGGTATGAGACCAAATGACGTAAAAGTCAACAACTATAGGTCACCGTACTGCTTTCAACAACGAGTAAAACCTATTACGTATGGTAAGCTGATTGAGACAGGCACACACAGAATGTGTCGAGATTAAACATGTTTGCTGGCAACGAACCTTCCTTATAACCTGGGACAATGATATAACAGTACAACATAAGAATAAACTGTTAAAATCAGGTGAAAAGGGCCTAACTCATCAGGTCGATAGAAAGCACAAAAAATAAACAAAATACGAAAAAGACACAAAAGACACAAAGTAAAGATATGAGAGTACTCGCAGTTACTGAAAGCTGGTTCAAAGCAAATAATAATTTTACAAAATCATGTATCTAAAAATAAAATATCAATCAGTAAACATCCAACATCCAATGAATTTAGTGTAAAGTCGTCATTAACAGCAAGATAAAACATGACAAAATATCGGTATCGACAGATTATAGAACCATGCATGTACATATATGTATAATAATAATATTAACTTGGGTTTTGATTTATTGATAACAAAATCAATATTTATACCGATAATAACAATATTAAAGATCTAATGACAGTGTAGATCGATTACATATAATTGTCTTTTCATAATGCTGATAGAAGTAGGAAAAATGGTTATAGTGCCATACGAAAACGAATATAGTTTTCCAGGGGGTGTCAACAGCTTACTTTATAAAGCATAATTTCATCTTATTAATGTTAAGTTATAACATCAAAACGCCAAGGTAAAATAATTAAAGCAATTATTTACCTAACAAAACCAAAAAAAAATTATTTAAAATGAACTTTGTCAAAGTTTAAAATGATATAAAATAAGTTATCATATACTAAGAGTAAATAACTTATAATTGTTACAGTATGATAATAGGATTAAATTTACGTGAATTCCATATTTTCCGAAATGGTGATTAGCTGGCTGATATGAAAAAATTATCAACTGCTTCCGGCTATTATCGCATGCTTTTCCGTAACGTTATCGCATGGCATTCCGACGTTACTCGGCAAATTCTTGAAAAATACACCGCAATGGTACGTTTTCAGTGAAAAACATAACAAAGTAGGATACAAAATAAATATTAGTAATCAGGAAAGTATATTATGTAAAATGCAAAACAAATGATACAATAAATGCATTTTTCAAAGTATCCAGCATAATTTAGCAAGTTACTTTACAAATGTTGACTTTTCCAAACAGTGTTCATTATGTTTTTGTTGATTTTTTTTATCGTCAATATTAAGGTATATTATATTGTTGTTTTTTCCTCTGTTGAGGCATATGATAGAAAGATTTCATATCAGATGTATTACATTTGGCTTCCGTCGACCGTAAACTTTTCTCTTTTTTTACTTCTACTTGAAAAACACTTAAAGGGATTATTATATTAAACTGTTATTTTTCTCCATTGTTGAAGCATATGGTAAAAAGATCATAACATGTCATTTTTCATATCAGATGTATTATAAGCCATCGGTCAATATCAGCCCTCGAGCCTTTGGTTGTTGTGTTGATATTGAACCTTGGTCTGATATTTTGTTTATTTTCTTTGGTTACATCTTCTGACATCAGACTCGGACTTCTCTTGAACTGAATTTTAATGTGCGTATTGTTATGCGTTTACTTTTCTACATTGGCTAGAGGTATAGGGGGAGGGTTGAGATCTCATAAACATGTTTAACCCCGCCGCATTTTTGCGCCTGTCCCAAGTCAGGAGCCTCTAGCCTCTGTTCGTCTTGTATTATTTTTAATTGTAGTTTCTTGTGTACAATTTGGAGTTTAGTATGGCGTTCATTATCACTGAACTAGTATATATATTTGTTTAGGGGCCAGCTGAAGGACGCCTCCGGGTGCGGGAATTTCTCGCTGCATTGAAGACCTGTTGGTGACCTTCTGCTGTTGTCTGTTCTATGGTCGGGTTGTTGTCTCTTTGACACATTCCCCATTTCCATTCTCAATTTTATTTTTTACAGAGTTTGTCTTTAGTGCCGTGTGGAGACAGTAGAGTGCCTCCCCGTGCTTCAGGTTTATGCTCTTGTAATATACTAGATTATGGAGTGTGTGTCCGAGCGAGAACTTCTCTAGTTCATTACTTTAGGAATATTTATCAAAAAGTAGTATATCAATATTCAGCCCCATTCTACTATTTAGTCAGACGTCAGTCACTACCCTGATATACCCTTTCTTTTTCGGGTAATTAATACGGATAGCGTTTGACATCTTTAGCCGAACAGATTTATCATTTTTACATAATTTAATTCATTGTATGCTGGTTCATATTCTGGACGCCAGTCTTTGCTCCTTTCTAATATAATTCACAAACAAAAAACGAACATGAAGCTTAGAAATGGAAAAATATTAAATACTAAACTCGTTCAAAGGGTATCTACACGTCTCAATCTTCAAAATCGCTTATCTAAAAATACTACCATCGCTAACATTTTTAACAATAAAAATCGTGGTTACCCTTCTATCGATAAGTGTCACGCCAAAAAATGACTTACATGTCCCCGTCTTTCCACCAACAATACGGTAAGGTCCACGTTTAATGGTCGCACATTTTCTTTAAATTTTGAAACTGATATAACTTGAAAAACAAACAGTATAATTTATTTACTCACATGAAACAAACCGGGATGCGGTATTCAGTACGTAGGTGAATCTGGACGATATTTATCTAAGCGCACTCAAGAACATCTGTATCGTTTTAAAAGACCCAATAAATTCAAAAGTATCATTTATCAACACCTTAAGAAGCACAATCATCCTATTAAATATTTAGCAGTTCAACCTTTAGAAGTAGTAAATAAGCAGCCTGGTGAATCTCATTCAAAGTTTGTACGATCGCGGAAAATAATTGAATTAAATTGGATTAAAAAATTACAGACAGTCTACTCTCTCGGTCTTAATGATAATATCATGGGAATTGGTAATATATCAAGAACCGATTCTGTTAACATTTTGGATATAGTTTCTAAAACTGTTCGTAAAAACCGTTCTCATGGTCGTAGAAAAAATCGCAATCAAAGAAAATTTCGGACCAATCATACCAATGTTTCTGACCTAATTTCTATTTCAAAAAACAACGGCAGACATCTGTTAACAAAGCTCTGTTTATTACCGGTTAATAAGTTAAATAAAATTTTAGAGGATTGCAGCACAATTTCATATAGCAGTCCTAAGTATGAAATCGTTCAAATTATAATGGCATATTGTTATTCTAAACTGTTTCCCAAAATTGATCGCCCTGAAGATCATAAAAAACAGTTTATTAAAATAAAGTATGTCAATAAAGGTTTTGATTTTGTAAATATTGCCGGTATTTTTAACGACCATTCTGTTAAAGAACAAATTCCGGGATATTTTGATAATACTGAGCTCCCTCTTATTTGTTATATTTACAAGAAATCTACCCGGAAATTTGTGTTTAATTATAGCCAATTGTGTAAAGATGTTAATATCAGTGAAAATACACCTACTCCAT